GAATATAACCTACGCATCCCCCAGAAACCTTGTTTCACTTCCACAGACATCGGCGGGTTTAATTGAGCTGGCGTTTCATTCTGCTCGTAATTTAAATTCTTGGTTTGTGGAGGAGGGATGCCATAGAGCTCTTGGTATATTTGCAAACATTTCAGTAGTTTTAATACTCTGCTGTTCTGTTCCACAAATTAGTTTCGAATTTCCTTTTTCTTTTTAATCACTCCCCCCCCCTCAAAAAAAGGAAGAAAGCAACCTGAATCACAGGGATTCCCAAGACACACAACTAAATTTCCATTTTCAGCGCTAAAATTCCATCTTCCACCTTACTGTAGGTTTTATTGTTGAATACAGAGGTCTCCAAACTTGGCAACTTTAAGACTTGTGGACTTCAACTTCCAGAATTCTCCAGCCAGCTATGCTGGCTGGAGAATTCTGGGAGTTGAAGTCCACAAGTCTTAAAGTTGCCAAGTTTGGGGGTCCCTGGTTTAATATCCTGCTTTAATTTTGTATACATCCAAAGTGGGATATACGCACAGGTCACAAGCACAACTGGGACCCGGATTCCCGTTGTTAAGCCAGGCAACTGCTGTGAAGTCCATCAGAACAGGATTCCCTTCGTTTTCAGTGGGTCTGGCTTAGCATTTCAGGGAAAGGCATCGAATCAGCGGCCATTCTTTAGACCAGTCTCTCATGTCTGGTGTAAGTAGGAGGGCGTGAGTCACGGGTCCCTCAAAGAGGCCGGCCTGGACCCCCCTCCTCCCTCCTTTATTGGCAGACACCAATTTAACCTTCAGAAGGAGGGGGCAAAATGTTACCCCAAACATTGCGTAGCAGCCGCTCCCTCTCTTAAAGGTCTTGAGAAACGTCCGACAACATCTCTAATTCCCCTTTGCTTCTTTCCTCTCTGCAGGGCTTCATCCGCTTGGACATGTCGGAGTTTCAGGAGAGACACGAGGTGAGGAGGAGGAGGAAGAGGAGGAGGAGGGAGGAGGAGGAGGAAGAGGAGGGGGAGGAGGAGGAAGGAGGAGGGAGGAGGAGGAAGGGGAGGAGGAGGAGGCGGGGGGGAGGAGGAGGAGGACAACTGGGGTCCCTGGTGTTCTCTGAGCTTGCTGGCTTTCTTGCAGACGTTTCACGGCCCACCTAGGGAACATCATCAGTGCTAGGAGGGAGTAGAGAATGAAGTTGTGGGTGGAGGAGGTCTTTCCACTGTCTTCGTAGCGCTTTCCTTCCTTGGTCCCTCTCTCCACTCTTGCCAGATACCAAAAATCTCGTGTGTACAGATTGAGCCACAGAAAAAAATCACGTGTCTCAGCCTAACCTCCCCAGGAGAAATACGTTATTATTTGGGATCACAGCTGGTGTGGTTGGATTCTTTCTATTCCAACTATGGCTAACTCCTCCTCGGGTTGTGGTCCTCTTTCTTGGGGGGGGGGGGGGGGGGGGGGGGGGGGGGGGGGGGGGAGCTTGCTCTGAACCCCAGAAGGCTCGATGATGATCTAACTCCAGGGGTGGGGTGTCTCTTGCAGGTGGCCAAGTTCATTGGCTCTCCCCCAGGCTACATTGGTCATGACGAAGGGGGGCAGCTCACCAAGAAGCTGAAGCAGTGCCCCAACGCCGTGGTCCTCTTCGATGAGGTGGACAAGGCCCACCCAGATGTCCTGACCATCATGCTTCAGCTCTTCGATGAAGTAAGAACAGGCTGGGTTCCAGGTCATTCGTTTGTTCTTTTCCTCTGGGTTCTTGGTCCTTCATTCTTTTGTTCTGGGTTCCAGGTCATTCAGTCATATTTTTTTTGTTCTGGGTTCCAGGTCATTCATTTGTCCTAGGTTCCAGGTCATTATTTTCTTCTGGGTTCTTGGCCACTCATTCATTTGTTCTAGGTTCCAGGTCCTTCAGTCATTCTTTTGTTTTGGGTTCCAGATCATTCAGTCTTTTTTTGTTGTTCTGGATTCCAGGTCATTCATTTGTCCTAGGTTCCAGGTCATTCTTTATTTTCTTCTGGGTTCTTGGCCACTCATTCATTTGTTCTAGGTTCCAGGTCCTTCAGTCATTCTTTTGTTCTGGGTTCCAGGTCATTCCTTCATTTGTCCTAGATTCCAGGTCATTCTTTATTTTCTTCTGGGTTACTTGGTCACTCATTCATTTGTTCTAGGTTCCAGGTCCTTCAGTCATTCTTTTGTTTTGGGTTCCAGGTCATTCATTTGTCGAAGGTTCCAGGTCTTTATTTTCTTCTGGGTTCCAGGTCATTCAGTCTTTTTTTTTGTTCTGGATTCCAGGTCATTCATTTGTCCTAGGTTCCAGGTCCTTCATTCATTCTTTTGTTCTGGGTTCCAGGTCATTCATTTGTCCTAGGTTCCAGGTCTGTCTTTTCTTCTGGGTTCCAGGTCCTTCAGTCATTATTTTTTTGTTCTGGATTCCAGGTTATTCATTTGTCCTAAGTTCCAGGTCCTTCAGTCATTCTTTTGTTCTGGGTTCCAGGTCATTCATTTGTCCTAGGTTCCAGGTCTGTTTTTTCTTCTGGGTTCCAGGTCCTTCATTCATCTCAGGTTCCAGGTCCTTCGGTCATTCTTTTGTTCTGGGTTCCAGGTCCTTCACTCCTTCATTCGTGGCTGCCCATCTCACTGCAGTGACTCTGGGTAGCCTACAGACTTAAACCAAATAGCTTCTAATGCATTCCTCCACCACTTGGACTCCGTCCGGCCTCCTCTCTGACTTCCGGTGGAGTTGGTTCAGGCCGGGGGGGGGGGATGCTCCCCAGGCCATTTATTCATTGGACCTTGGGAACTTCAGGTAGCACTGTCAGCCTGTTCTCCAAAGCCCCCTGAAGAGGCAGGGCAAGAAGCAACGGATGGGACCTCACCCAGGAGAGAAGCAACCTGGGATTAAGGAGAAACTTACCAACAGTGAGAACAATTAACCAGGGGAACAGCCTGCCACCAGAACTTGTAAATGCTCCAACACTGGAACATTTTAAGAAGATGTTGGATAACCATTTGTCTGAAATGGTCTGGGAGGTTGAGCAGGGGGTTGGAGTAGATGACCTCCAAGTTCCCTTCCAACTCTTGTTATTCTATTCTATTTGAAATGGTAGAGGGTCTTCTGCCTTGACTGCGGGGAGGGGGGGTTGGGCTAGAAGACCTCCGAGGTCCCTTCCAGCTGTATCCTGTTGTTCTGTTAAGCTGGATCGCTAGAACCTTCCGGTAGTAGACAGTCAGGGCCCAGGCTGGTAGCTGCCCTCTCCACACCCTGACCCTTCCCTAAAGCTCACCTTCCTTAACATCTGTAATGGGCCCAGCAGGCCCAGCTGTGTCCTTGAGTGCCAGGGAGCCTCTACCCCCAGCTGGGCAGCCCCCACCTCTGGCTCCCATCAGCCAGCACCGAGTGTCCCGTGAGATGTCTCTCATCTCCCTTCTTTGCATTTCGTCTTGTGTGTGTGTGTGTGTGTGTGTGTGTGTGTAATGGCGGCGTCCTCGGTGGTGCTTTTTCAGGGTTCTGTTACGGTGGTTTGGTTTGTTTGTTTGTGTTTCCTTTCCCCCCCCCTTTTTTTTTTCCCCAGGATTAATAACGCTGGCATTTTTCTTGCATAGATCACGGTGGCAGCCGCTAAATGCGAAATCAATTCCTGAACTGCCGGTCTGACAGAGCAATAACCGAAATGTTAATCCCCAGCACTGACACAAATGGGTGTCGTTCGGCTGGACAGGACCGCTCCTGGCGACGCTTAGAAAGGGGAGGGGGAGAGCAGGAACCCACCCACCCCACACACACACCGATTCTCTTTCCTCCTCGCTCCTCCTCCTCTTCCCTTCACCAACTATCCCTATTTTTAAAAGACCCTTCATTTCACCTTCTCAGATATTCACGCAGGGCCCGGCGGCCACTCCTGCCTTGCCCCGAAGCTCCGTCTCCCATCTCCCCTTCTGGGGTCTTTGGACCCCAGCTCAGCGCCTGAAGCCCAGATGGTCCCTGGGAGACCCTTTAAACGGGCTGGTTTCATTTACCCTGAGCAAAAAAACTGAGCTGAGGGGGGGGGGCAGTTTCCCTTGATTCACCACCATAAACGGAGCCCCAAATTTCTGTGGCCAAGTGAAGTTTTGCTTCTTGCACCAACATCTGTGGTGTGAAGGGAGAAGTGGGTTAAACGGGTTTTACGACTCTTCTGGGCACCCGTTTTACGACTCTTCTGGGCACCGCTGTTAAGTGAACCACCGCTGTCATTAAATTAGTAACCCAGCCGTTAAACGAATCCGGCTGACCCCATTGATTTTGATCGTCAGAAATTCGCCCTGCGACCGTCGTAGATTTTGAGCCAGTTGGCCACAAATTCAACCACCGTTGGTGCCCTCTGAGCTGGGCGGTTTCCTTGCAGGAGTTTCATGACCCAACTAGGGAACATCATCAGTGCTAGGAGGAAGGGAGGTTTGTGTGTGTGTGTGTGTGTGAGAGAGAGAGAGAGAGAGAGAGGAAGGGAGGAGGAGGAAGAAGAAGAAGAAGACGGTGGGGTCCCTGGTGGTCTTTGAGCTTGGTGGCTTTCTAGCAGACGTTTCAGGACCCAACTAGGGAACATCATCAGTGCTGGAAGGGAGGAAGGAAAAAGAGGGAGAGAAGAAGGAAGAGAGGAAAGAAGGAAAGGGAGGAAGGAAGGAAGCAGGATTATGGAGCCCCTGGTGCCCTCTGAGCTGGGCAGTTGCCTTGCAGACGTCTCACGACCCAACTAGGGGACGTCATCCATGCTGGATGTACCCAGCGGCCTGGGGGGGGGTTCGGGGCTCCTCTTCGGCCTGACCAGGCTTAACCTCCCCTCCGTCCTCCGAAGGGCCGGCTGACCGACGGGAAGGGGAAGACCATCGACTGCAAGGACGCCATCTTCATCATGACCTCCAACGTGGCCAGCGACGAGATCGCCCAGCATGCCCTGGAGCTGAGGGAGGA